GGGGATAAAACGTGAATTGCGTGAGAAACATCGGTCCGAAATTGGCACAGAAAAATATCTTGGACACTTCCCATGTTCAGACAAACTCATGAACACTCTTTCTCTTTGATTGGGCAATGATTTAGCTCTTCACCAAGTTAGTAAAAAAACAAACAACTTCAGTCCCTTTTATATCTTATGTAGGTGCTTTTACATCGAGACAATTTAGATAATTTAGGAAGCAGGCCTCGAACCCTCCATGCAAAGGCCAGTCTGAGCTGGGATGAATACAACATTACAACAGAAAGACCGGAATACTCAATAAAAATATTCTTCCAACTCGGTGATCGATCTTGGGTCCCCTGCTAGCGACAGCGGAGTGCTTAACCACTACACCACAGACATCGGTTATTCCTTCTATAGAAAGCTAGGTTTATCGTCTATCTTATTCTTTCTGCTTGGAGACTGCTCCTCAGCACTAGTTCGCCTTAGCAGACAGTATCGATGAAGTCCTTTACCTACACATCGAGTAAAACTGAGTCATAAGTGGCTTTAGTTTTTTTATATTGGATTAAATCCTCTCAGAACATCGAACAGACAAATGTAAAAGCATGGTACTGTTACTTCGCAATATGAAATAAAAAAGGGACGTCAGAAAGTTCTGGCACAGTTATGTACATGAGATGGGTGGACTTTAAACCATAAAGGATTACTGTCAGATAGTGCTGAGCGATTTTGAGGAAACGAGAGTTCCTGGACGCATTGAAGCATTACATCGCTATTCGTGCTATTCGAACAGCCTGAGCGATTATTTTCCCATATATTAATATTAGTCCAATAGCAATGCTGCTATTCAGCATTTACCATTCACAGCGTCATTCATAACAAACGCAGTGCGATATGATGACGTCATTTCACCCTTCATAATGCTTGAACTTCCAAAAGAGTAAAAGGGAAAGGGGACTCACTGCGCCTGTCTACTTCTAATTTCTTGCCAACCCATCCCATGTGGTCCTATATTCCAGAGTTTGAAGAGCATTAGCTATTTGCTATGAAACTAATGCATATTGAATAGTAGTGAATACTTCTTAGAGGCTCCATATATCCTTCCGTCTCGTACCCATCACGTACCATATCGCTGTATTTATCTCTATTATTTATACATAACCTTTTATCTAAAAAAAAACCCAAACAAAAACACGAAATCTGTAAAAATTCCATTGCATTCAAATGGTTCTGCTATGCTTTGAATAGAATAGCGATGAATAGCGAAAAATCATGACTGTTGAAAAGTGGAGTCGGTTGGATTGGTACAGCTTTTCTGTCAGACGAGTCTTTGCTACAAACAAAGAAAAAAGCACATGTGACCAAGTTATTAAAATACCATACATGAGGGTGCATTTATTTTTTTTAATGAAATCTGGACCATTTAGTAGGCGACCTGGTTTTAATCTGCAAGTCAGGATAAGTCCAGGTTAAGTGTGACTTGACGTGCTAACAGAAACAAAAATAGAAGTACAAACAATTTTCCTTGGCCGTCGATAGAACTTTTACATTTTGTGAGCAAGGCAAAGAATGTAAGAAGTCCAACAATCACGCTCGTACCATTTAAGAAACACAAGGTCAAAGATAATATTACTAAAAGTTCAGGCCACATACTCGTGAATCAGTCAGTCCATGTAATATTATTTTTCTTCAAAATGTGCCCTCCTTGTCATCTTACTTCTTATTTAGATTTTTTTTAAATATCTAGAATAATGAGCTAGTATCCAATAACTAGACAAATCACCC